GAATCTTCCACCGCAGCCCAGAGAGGAGATGTAGAGAGCCTGTCACAGCCAAGCCTCTCAGATCATTTATTATTGATTCAGCAGCCATCAGGTTGGTGAGTCGAGGAGGACCAAAAACGAGGAAAGGAAGTGGGAGGAAGAGTCAATCAKGAGAAATCCTTTAGCAAAGCTGTTTGGTGAAAGGGTGAGGTCAGAGGTCACTCGGGACAGAGGTCAGCAGGAAGGCTCAGAGTTTAGTCCTAAACAACACAGCTCCTGCACCCTGCAGGTCGAGCCACAGAAACATCTCCATGCCTGSTTTATCAGTCTGGCTCCAGGAGGTCTTCAGGGCGTGTGGGGCTTTGCAAAGGCTAAACTTGGTTTCAAATCTGTTTTAAAAAGTGGTTGTAAAAGCACTTGCTATCATCCATCAAAGCAAAAAGCTGGCAATGATGTTTTAGCTTGTGTCCGTCTGTCTGTTAGCAAAATATCTCACRMACAATTGGATTCAGTTTTATTGAACCCAGCAGAAAATAATCACTGAACKTACCTCTCCAGCTGATTARCTTWYKAAGTCAGCCYGATTCAAGATGGCTGCCACAGCCCACTGGCTACAACTCAGTCAGTTTTATAGATTTTAACCTAAAATTTAGAACTGGTCACAACATATTGTGCTACTCATTGTGCAATACATTTAAAACTTTAGCACTACTTGTTGRAGTGAATCCTGTTTGTCTGTTAGCAAAATATCTCTCTAGAGTAATCATTGAATGTATGCTTATAACTGATTCCTTTTGAGAGCCAGTTGAATTTAAGATGGCTGCCATGGATAATCAAGATGAAMAAWCAGAAAAATGTCTGTAGTTCGGTCTGTTTTACAGATACTGAGCTGAGTGCAGAAACAATATCACCCTTCTGTTTCTCCTACAGAGCACACAATGACTTGTCAAATTCCTGAGTAAAATCCAATGTCATGATTGAATATTAGCTAAATGTATTTAAACTTGTAAAATTAAAAGATAAACACATCAAAGGACTAACATAAAAGCATGATAGCAGTATTCAGTCATTTTTAATCAATCATCTATAAATGCTAAAAGTATTCAAACATCAAGGATTAGGTATTCAAACTTTGAGAGTGATGCCAGGTGTTTTCAGTTTTTCATAGCATCCCGATGTAAGGGGCTACCTTGAATTATTTTTGGTTAAAAAAGAAAACCTATTAAATTCAGACATTCATACACATGTAAGTGAAAGTGCATTGAAATGGAAATAAAATGGATTTTTGAGGAAAAAGAAAATACTGAAGGTAAAAAAAAAGTTACAAAAGTCTCAGTTCAGGGACAGAAAGGCAACCAGGTTCAAGGAGGGCTCCGTCAAATCTGAGCGATATCTGCAAAACAAACCCGAGGTAACGCTGAAGCGTGRCAAACGCCTCTGAATGTTAAAGGTCCGTAACCTCCACCTTTAAGAATAATATCACAATATTTTGACCTGGTGAAGCTCAAAAAGGCATTGCTCTTTAAAATATTTAAAATATTACCCCAAAAATCATGKAGATAACTGAAGATAAAGAAAATTATTTGACTTTAACTTAGATATTCCAAACTTTATCAGTTCTAGATGTGCATCCAAAGATCTTTTTTTTCTGAGCTTCATTCAAATCAGTCCAATRGTTCATGAGATATTTTGCTAACAAACAAATAGGGTTGATGGCAACAGTTCAACATCAAAGTTTTGCTCAAAAAATGTCACATGACATGTGCATAGAATATGTGTTGTTGATTCTCGACTACTACCACACCAAATCTGAGCTCAATCTGTTTAAAGCTGACTAAGTTTGAGCCAATTTAATGTTTTGTGAGAGGAGTTGGATAAAGTTTGTGTCTTGGATTGGGTTGACTCCAAAAGTGAACCAGTTGTAGATGTTCACCCAACAACGACTTTGAAAGTTTGATAAAAATCCGTGTGGTGCTTCGTGAAATCTTTTGCTAACAGACAGATAGAGTTGACTACAACAATGGAACCTTGCTCAATCAGTTTGATTTCAGAGAAAAAGCTGGGGATGACTCTCAGCTACTGCCACACCTTCTCCCTTCAGTGACAGGTGATGAACAAAGTGGTGGTTTACAGCCGTTTGGGCCTCTTTCAGAAAATGTAAGGAAAAATGTCAAMCAGTTCTTCCCAAACACAGTTTTCAAAGAGCGGTTAAAGAAAATAAAGTTATTTTGTAGCGTGGCCGAGTCAAAGACCTGACCTACATACAGCAGAGATTTTGTTGTCAGCGCAGGCTTGAYGAGACGTTTTCAAACCGTGTTCCCCTCACGATACACAACACTGAGCTTTTCCCAACAACCAGCTATTTATAGAGGCTCTTTGAAAACGGACGCTTTTGAGAAGACACTGACAGTATTACTGTTCTTTTTTTTCCCCATCACGCATTTATACTAACTTTCCCAAATCATCAAAGTCTTTTAAGCAAACTGGCAAATCTGCAAACATTAAAAATAAAATGAGAAAATCTGGAGCTGTTCTTAACATTTCTGTTACTTGTATTAAGTTGCTGACTTGACATGATTTAGAATTGTTTGTGCTGGAACCAAAAGGGTGGTTCCCATGAAAGTTATCTCTGCAAGAAACGTGCTTGATCTTTGTATGAAATCAAATATAATGACGCAGCTGAAAATWTAAGGCTGTGTAGAAACACTAACTGGAAGCATAATGCAGGTGGAGCAGGTTGAGGTGGGTGAGTTTAAAACATCTTTGTTTTGTTTTTTTCTCTTAGTCTTCAGCACCTCCTGGTGGTCACAGTGAAGAGCTGAGATTGTGCAGCAGTACTCCTTTTCTCTTCACATTTCAGGTTTAATCTGTGGCATGAAAAGCAGCAGGTAATATTGCCTTTAAAATACATAGTTTCACCAGATTTCACTAAAAACACAGAAAGATTTATTTATTGCTTTCATTAAAACATACAAAAGCAAATCTATTAACAAAAAAAGATCAATCAAGTCATAAATGAAATGAAAGGAAGTAGAAAGAAGAAAACAATGTATTATACTATATCTGTCTCATTTTTTCCATAAAAAAAATCAAACAAAAATCTGTATTGGGTCCAAACAAAAATTTATGTTCAACACATTATATTTCATATTTTTCAACAAACAAATCTTTACCATTCTCATAAATTTAGAAACTTTTCCAGTAGTTTTAACATAAATCTTGAGATTATTCTGCATTTTAATAATATAAGGTTTAAATCATCTATAATTCTTCATGTCTTACCGTATTTGAAGGAGCATCTCCAGGTTATAGGAAGCAATGGTTGAATAAAGTTCCACGAAGGGATGTTTGAGCAAAAACAAGTATCTTACAATAAAATTACTTTGGTTAAAGTTAAAGCCTCCTCTAGTACTTGGGTAAAAAAAAAAAGTCTTAAAGTATCTGACAGTTATCGGATTTAAGTATCAAAAGTAATTTTCTGATTTAAAAATTAAGTATAGTATTAAAAGTAAAAAGTASTGAGTAAAAGTGAGCACATTTATTGGGAGATTACCTCCCCAAAAAAAACTTTTTCCTAAAAGCAATAATGATGTTGAAATGTTATAAACATGCTAATGTTGAAAAACAGGATGCGCTAGTCTAGTTTTTTTCAGCTGCATGTGTGTGTGTGTGTGTGTGTGTGTGTGTGTGTGTGTGTGTGTGTGTGTGNTATTTAAGGCTGTTATATCTGATCTGTTCTGCTGGAGTGTGATGTGTTTTGTGTCATGTGCAGACGTGACAAACCAGAAGGGTGTATTTACCGCTCATCCAAACACAATTAAATTTAATCTACTCAAGAGGTGAATGTTTTTTTTTTACTTTTTTAAATAAAAAGCCAGARTGAAAACAACTCAACATGAAATGGGGGTAATGACTTTCTATCTTTTTTTAAAGGTAAGAAGYAGAAAGTACAGATAATTGTGTGAAAATGTAAGGAGAARAAGTGCAAAGTCGGCTGAAAGATAAATACTCAAGCTAATTTTCTACTTAAGTAAAGTAGCAAAGTAATTTTACTTTACTTTACAACTCTCTTGATCAGATAGTTTTATCCTCTTGAGTCTAAAACTTTTACTTGGCATTTTTAATTTCACCGAGCTATTTAGGATTACTACAACCTCGTAAATATAAAAAAATAAGGTTTTTGAGCAGTTGGGAGTTAAATATATGTTTATATATTTTATTTTAAATTAAAAATCCATCCATTGTTTTTACCTTTCAGGGTCACGGGGGTCACTGGTGCCCACATCCAGGAGTCACTGTGCGAGGGGCGGGGTACACCCTGGACATTTCGCAAGTCCCTGACAAAACAAAACAAAAACGTAAATAAATTAATAAAATAAAATAAAAATAAGTTTTTCAATCTAGTCCTTTTAAATAAGAACCGATCTAAACACCACATTAGGATACAGGGTTTCAGGAGGTTTTGTGCATAATATTTTATTATAAATATAAATTTAGGAGAAGGGCGAGCTTTAATTAGTTGACAGTATTCCTTAATAACCAAACGATTAAACTAAAGTAGTCAGAGCTCAAAAGGTGAATAAATTACTCCTGTATTTCTTTATTTGCCAAATAGCCAATATGACARCATGAATCTTCTGAACTTATGTTCTGGTTTTTGGTATTGATGTGCCAATCTGAGATTTCCAGTGTTCTTGCCATTAAAACAAGCCTGAAGGCCTTATTGCATTAAAAGTTTCAGTCACTGCAGGAAACACTCTTTCTGTGCTGAAACAGACCTGAGGAGAATGTGAAGTGGTGAAACTGACAACTTCCATCTGATTGTTTCATTTTTTTTCTTCTTCTTCTCTAATGAAAACAGTGAGGGAGGAAGGAAACTCCATTTCCTGAGCACTCAAGGTTGATAAGGCAAGGAGCAAGCCCCCAGCATCAAAACAGTTTATCTTCCTCACACTCCTCCTCTCTCAAGGTCCTCCCCCCCTCGTCCCCTTGAGTTCCTGTCCTTTGTGTTTTCTGCCTACAGGAGCTGGATCTTAATTCTCCAGCAGAGAACCACCTTCACTCAGGATGGGCTCCGGACCCCCCGGCCTGCTGCTGCTCCTACTTCTCAGCAGTCTCATCGGTAAGGACCCCCTGCAGAGCTTCTATAATGATAAAGGATGTCTCATCATCTAGATCTAATATTGTGATTCTCACTTTTCCCCCCGCCTTGCTCTCTCTCTCTCTCTCTCTCGCTCTCTCTCTCTCTCTCTCTCTTTTTTTTCTAAACGCAGGTCAGTGTGTCACAGGAGAGTCATGTAAGTATGTCTGAATCTTGATGCGTTCTGTCTGGAGGACAGAAAATGTTTCCTGTGTTGTTTTATTGTGACTGTTTAAGGTTAGGTAGATATTTCTTGAGTCATAAATAACTTTTTTTTTACATTGAGAAGAGTCTTTTTTTTCCCTTTATTTTTGTTGTTGTTTTTCAAAGAAACCTCATTGCCGGTGTGGCCCTCAGTTTTGTATTATTCAGTTTTATATTGTGAAATCTTTTACATCAAAATGAGTTAAACACTCTTATAATAATAACTAGCTGTAATTAGCTTTACCTAGATCTGGTTTGGCGCCTAWAAATTACATGGCTAAAGAGGAAGTCTGAGTCATTTCTGTTTCCTCTCTGGAGCTACTGAATTTGGGTGTGAACACACACACCCACACAAACGTGTCCACCTATACATATGGGGACATTGCATTGACTTCCATTCAGTCTCTACACCCTAACCCTGACCCTCTACCCTAAAATTAACCTCACAGGTAAAACTAACCTAAACTCAAACTGAACCCCCATCCCACAAATGGCTTTTAAACCAAACGAGGGCTCCGCTTAGGTCCCCATATGTGGTCCCCACATGTCGGTGTTTTGTCTTGAAATGGTCCTCATATGTCACCAAATACTTGTCCACACACACACACACACACACACACACACACACACACACACACACACACACACACAC